TCATCATAGTGAAAATTTTGATTAAAGGCCTCATGTCAAAAACTTCATAATTTGCGTGTTATGCCTATAGAAGGTGAATTTAGTTCACGTTATGAATCTACATGATATTGTCTTTTAAGAATTTGTAAGCAGTATGTCGCTTATTTTTGCCCTATTTTGTCTCAAATGTTAGTTGACCAGCCCACCTATACTTGTTCCAAACAAGTATTATATGTCTAGTTGTTTCATATTATATAATGAGAAATGGAACAAAAATTATACGGTATACATCTCAGGTGGTTATTATGTGAAGTCTTATTTATAGAATTGAAGAATTATTTATATTCTATAAATGACTATAAACAGCAGCAATTAAACAACTAGCAATAAGAAAGCATAAACAGCATTAAAAGATCACACTGTTACAAATATGTATAAGCATATTCGTCATTATTATCAACATCATTTATATTATTGTTATTGCAATCATTATTATTGCTACGATTATAACATAATAGTTACAATCATTATTAATATTATTAAGAAATATAATGTATAATACAACATGAATAAATACGGAATCATATATACAGATTTACAAGCCAGAGTTCAACACCTTCAAGTGGGAGCACCAAGTGCCAATTTGAGTCAATAGTACATCGTTACGAATATGTTGAGGAAGTGTGTCCCACAATCTGGGAAATGAGTTAATGGCTGACGAACGCAGTCTTTCAGTTCGAGCGAACAAATGTTTGAACTTCAGGTCGGTACTATACCTTGGGTTTACATTTATGGCGCTGTTTACACTATCGCAGGATACATACATAAACAAACATTTGATAATGAATGTGATCAAAGTATACTTCCGACGAGACTCAAGAGATGACCAGCGGAGGCGTCGCAACCTTTCCTCGTATGACATTTCCATTCTTCTTTGTTTAAGGATAATTCGGGTTGCTCTACGTTGAATACCTTCAATCTTACCGATTAAATTTTTCGTATACGGGGTCCAAACCGGTAGACCATACTCGATTATGGGTAGAATAAGAGCTTTGTACAGACAAAGTGTAGCGTGGGAAGAGAGACCAGATGAAACACTAGAAAGCAGCCCAAGGAGCCGGTTGGCTCGTGAGACAATGTAGTTGACGTGACTATCCCAAGATAAGCGGTTATTTATCATGACACCTAAATATTTGGTCTCAGTTACTACATCAAGAAGAACGCTATTGATGCTGTATTCGGGAATACCTGGATTCTTAGCGCATGATATCCTCATGACTTTAGATTTTGAAGCGTTGAGACACATCTTGTTGTCTTGGCACCACTGATGAATGCTATCGATGTCATTTTGGAGGTATTGGTGATCGACGGGAGCATACATGGGGCGAGAGATGACAGTGTCATCCGCGAATAATGCACATGAGGAGTCAATGTAGCGGGGCAGGTCATTGATGAACAAGTTAAATAGACAAGGACCTAATACGCTGCCCTGTGGGATACCGGATGTTGGTGAACTCCGTGAAGAGAAATATCCTTTATACTGAACACGCTGTTGACGTCCAGACAGGAAAGACCGAATCCAGTACCATACGTCACCAGTAATGAAGACAATTTGTGCAATAGAACATCGTGAGGCATGCGGTCGAAGGCTTTTGAAAAGTCGAAAAAGACTGCGTCAATACGGGGCGGGCGACGTTGATGTTTTATAGAGAGGTATAGGATGAGAAATGCTTTGATGTAAACCACTCTAGGATATAAATTTGTTAGGAGATAAGACTAGATAGTACAGCGGATTAGCTCCCCATATAACGAGAATTGTGCACTTTTTGATAAAAGCATGAAACTTCTAGCATAGTTAGTTTAGACCATAAGATTCATTTTCAGATGTGGAGGGAAGTCAGATTTGACCTCTGATGACCCTGAGAGGTCAAATTCAAAATGGCCGCCAGTCCGCATGGTCTAATGTACAAACACGCTAATTAACTTTTGAACAAAATAGTCCAGAAAAACATTTAAGGTGTCGTTTCCAACTAAATTGAGGATGCCAATGCATTTGGTTATACTTTTGAGATCGCCAAATTTCGGGGTTTGGCATTTAGGTCAAGGTTAAGGTCAAAATTGACTAAAAATAGCAAGTTTTCAATGTTTACAACGAAACAAATCCCATTTATTTGTCATTTGTTCGCTCCTATGTTCTCAAATTTCTTTAAGAGTGGTTCCCCTGCAGACCATGAGATTCATTTTCAGATGTAGATCGAAATCAGATTTGACCTCTGATGACCCTGAGAGGTCAAATAAAAAATGGCTGCCAGTCCGCCGCATAGTCTAATAATTGTCCAAACACGCTTAACTCTTGAACTAAATAGTCCAGAAAAACGTTTAAGGTGTCATTTCCAACTAAGTTGGGGATGCCAATTCATTTAGTAATACTTTAGGGTACGCCAGAACTCTGGGCTTTGCATGAAGTCAAGGTCAAGGTCAAAATTGACTAAAAAAATAGCAAGTTTTGAATGTTTACAAAAAGTTTTCCCATTTATTTGTCCCCCTATGTTCTCACATTTCTTTAGGAGTGGTTCCCCTGCATAGTCTCCATCGTAATCCCTGTCAGTTAGTTTATTTCACTAATTATAGCACCAAACCAGTAGTTGTCTTGTAACTGACCATATGCATATAGCATGGTCAGTGGGCAGCTAGGCAGTATACGGTACGAACCTCAATTCAAGTCAGGGAAACTGCTCCTTTCCGTTACTGCTCAATAATACTGGTAAGATGTTCTTTAAGTTACTTTGTGTTTTATTTGGTTTAAGTAATTTAAATAATCGCTACAGAGTTTGAGGAACATGCCATAAAGCAAACTAACGTTTCTGCTAACACTATACAAACATCACCTTGACCAGCAACCTGGAGTGCAGGCAGCATTCTTGAGGGATGGGAACTTCTGACAGTACTGAAAGAGATGGGGAATCCATCTCTAGAACAAAGTCAAGACATACTAGTCATTGGCACAAGCGACATATCATGGACATCCAATTGGCTGAAACGGGGAGAAGGATTGAGACCCTAGGTGAGCAGTACACAAAGTTTGTGACAGAAAGGCTAGAGCAGTGTACGACACCTAGCTGTCACACAAACACTTCATACGAACAAGTTGCCATTTTTCAGTCGGCAGCCGGCGAAGGTTATATATATGTTAAAACAGAAGGCACAGCTTGCAGCACTTAAGAGTGACTGTGGTCTCTTTTTGAGGATTTACATCTCGTGTCAGACAAGGGATGGAGATATGGACAATTTCTTCTCTCATGAAAACCAGGCAGTCCCGCCAGCTTTGTTAACTGGAGGTAAATGCGGTTTGGAGTTAAAGCAGATCTACTTCGCTGCCTGGAATCAAATCTGCTCGAAAACAATAGTGCACCTGTGGCCCAAGCAATAATTATTGATGGTGAAGCTGTGGTTCAATTAAATGCTCAACCCTGGAACATCAAGAACATTTCAAGAGTATGGAGAAAAGTGTTTGCCCCATACATCTTTGCTCAACTCGAGAAAAGCATCCACATCGACCTTGGCTATGGTGTATACTTACCTGCTAGCCTGAAAGCCTCAATAGGGCAGGAAAAGGGAAAGGGCACCAGGAAAAGGGTGGCTCCTTCCATTTTGCTGCCAGAAAGCTGGAAGGACTTCCTTCGATTCAATGAGAACAAAACCGAATTGTTTGATTTCATGTCATGCGAAGCCGTTTACCTTCCTCTACCACAGGGCAAGGAACTGTATAATATGCAACAGATGGAAGTGGAGTACTCTGCTCTCCTGCTGAGTCACACTTGGTAGGCCTTGTCCCATGGGTGTAAAAGGGTATCCATACGTATTGTTGGTACTGATGCGGTTGAACTGGCCGTGGCTTCATTCAGCAAGACAGCTCCTGATGCTAGCTGGGGATCGCTTTTGGTGTCAGATCAAGCTTTCGGTACAAGGCTTTTCATAAAATCATGATAGTTGCCACCATGAGTCTGACACAATGTATGACTCTTCCAATCTTTCATGCGTTCACCGGGTGTCACACTGTTTCTACATTCACAGGAAAAACTTAGAAGTCTTTCCCAGAGGTGAATGATTCCTTCAATGAACTCCTGTGCATGCCTAGGATCGCCCTTACAAAAAAAACCCATGGTATACCATGGTACTACCATGGTTGTTATGGTATTACCATGGTATTACCATCATAACCATGGTACTACCATGGTAAGCATAATTCTACCATGGTACTACCATGGTACTACCATGGTACTGCCATACTACCATGGTACTACCATGGTACTACCGTACTTCCATGGTATAACCATGGTATTACCATCATAACCATGGTACTACCACGGTAAGCATAATTCTACCATGGTACTACCATGGTACTACCATGGTACTGCCATACTACCATGGTACTACCATGGTACTACCGTACTTCCATGGTATAACCATGGTATTACCATAATAACCATGTTACTACCATGGTAAGCATGATTCTACCATGGAACTACCATGGTACTACCGTACTTCCATGGTACTACCATGGTACTACCATAATAACCATGTACTACCATGGTTAACATGATTCTGTGTTTGGCACTAGTTTTAATTTGTTTGTCATTTGTTTTTGCTCTTTTTCAGTTTCCTTATAACTTATACATGTGTGTTATAGACCGCGACACCGCGTGCACACAATTCCACCGACCCACAAAATCTGTTTCAAAGAATGGACTTTAAATTTTGAAAACGAAAAACAACAACAAATAATTAGCGTACGCATGAAACCAAATAAAAAAAACATAAGAATTAATAACAAAATAATAATTAAAATATTTCAAAATCATGAAGAAAAAAAAACAATTATAATAATTGTTGTTCAAAAACGATTGAAAAGAATGGGGGGAAAAAAAAAAAAAAAAACTCAAGTATCATTAAAAACACAATTGTTATGAATAAAAAAAATATTCAAACAAAAATACAAGAAATGTAGAAAGAAAAAAATATATTTAAAAAAATGATATCGCGTGTATCCAGTACAATTATATAATTTCATAGTCCTTAAGTTTTTGAAGATGTTAGTTGAAATGAAAAACTGACAATAAAAAAATACATCTAGCAATCTGGCTTAAGTTGATTATTGTAAACAAATTCATTAATGTAGTTAAAACGTGTGCAATTATTATTAGGGGAAAACTCTTAACTTTCATTTGGCCATTTATCAATGGTGTGTAAATTAGAAATTGTGCAACAGCTTGAAATATCATAACGAAGGTCTGCACTAGTCAAGACTATATACCCACAGGCCCCATATACATATACACACATATACACACATACACACACGTACACACAACCAATATCCTTTGGAACCGTTGTGCAACATAACCCCGCATTTTTTGAATGGCTATAGCTATGTGTACTGTGTACGTGTCAAAGGATCGCTGTACAAAGCTTGCATTGGGAATAGTGCACGCACAGGCTATATAGCTACTGTGTGCATTATAAATTCACAATGTAGCTTTGCCTAGACAGGAGCTAGACTGAATCTTGGTGTTTTCTCTGCAAAATAATGCTGAATACTGAGTTTTCCTGCTAATCTACAACAGTATGGGTAAGTTTAAGAATCATCTACCTTATTTACAATGTACTTAGATCTACTCGATGTCTAGATAGTTATTTATGACAGTGTTAACTGGGACTTAAAACACATTCCGACAGGATAAGACTGAACATGTATGATCCCATATGTGCAATGTACGTAACTTGATGTAGGATCTTGATGGGTTATGGGGCAGATATCATTCAAAGCAAAATTTGTCCATTTACATACACATTAACTCTGCTGTGATTATAGTATCATTGTTCGCAGGATTTAATGTTTTATTCCTTTTAGAACATAAATAGAATACTGCATAAAAACCCAGCATATTAACGAATTACGCTTAATCGATGTCATATCTGCGTCTGTGACTGTGTGATTTCATGTTGACAGTTGTTGATATTGATATTTGTTTTTGTTATAGACTCTAATTCAAAATTGTCTTTTTTAAATTACAGATATAGACGCAACATGACAAATGAGTAGTTTCCATATTGACCTCGTTCTTTATCATCATCTTCACCAATACATCAACGCCACCATCACCATGTCTTTGACGTCGACCTCCGTTTTTGCGTTTGAACTTTGAAGATTGTTGCGAACTCTAATAATGAATTGGATATTGGCATTATCGATGTTTGTTCTATCTTTGAACACTGTCGCATCGAACTTTGATTAAAGGTAAGAACCTCCTTTTTACCTTCTTCGATTTGTGTTTCGTCGTTTGCAGGTCTGATCCTGACTCTGACTAATGATGACCTAACCTATCGTTCTGTCTTCAATCACCCTCGACGTCAAACTCTATACCGCGTTTCACAATCGCCGAACACGGACTCCGCAAACGATTGACATCGCCGACTCTCGACTTTCGTTCATCATTCATTTTTGAACTGTACTATGATCACCGACATATCATCTACGATCTGCCAAGAAGGCCTAGTCACCAATTGTTTCTTCAAATTTCGTCTTTCGACTGAATTCGAGTACGACATCGTCAACGAATCTCGCACCTCCGCTGGAAGGACAGTTTGTATAATGTACTATGTAATTTGAATATGAGCGGCAGTCTTTCGCTATAGAAATAGACTAACCACTTTATAATATTGTTGTGTGCTGAAAATGTTTAGTGTCATGTATAATGATGTAACAAGCGGCAGTCTTCGCTATAGAAATAGACTTCAGTTTTCGACTGTAAATTGTTTTATATATTTTACGCGAGCTAGACTTTAGCTCGTTTGAATAAACGTTTTTTTTTAAGTAAACATATTGTTTCCATTGTTTGATGTTTGATACGTCATATGATCATTCAACAATAATGATCAACATGATTGTGATGTCTTTTGTTAACAGATCGTGTTTGCGAGATAAGCGGCTGAATGGATAATTGAGTTGAAAGTGGAGATGCCAGCTCCTGTCATTTTTGCGTCTACTTTGCAGACCACTAGCATGCTATTTCAAAATTAAATAACAAGGGCTGGCAAATATTATGAGGAATACTGTGTTGAAAGTGCTTTAATTATGTAGTAGATTTGTAAATGATACCATGGTACTGGACCACAATAATACCGTGGTATACCATGGTACTGTACCACGGTAGTATACCACGGTACTGTACCACGGTAGTATACCACGGTACTGTACCACGGTACTGGACCACAATAATACCATGGTATACCACGGTATTATTGTGGTACAGTACCGTGGTACAGTACCGTGGTATACTACCGTGGTACAGTACCATGGTATACCACGGTATAATTGTGGTCCAGTACCATGGTACAGTACCGTGGTATACTACCGTGGTACAGTACCATGGTATACCACGGTATAATGTGGTCCAGTACCATGGTACAGCACCGTGGTAGTATACTCGGCGGAACTATACCGTGGTACTACCGTGGTACTACCGTAATAATTGTCATGGTACTACCATGGTAGTACCATGGTTATGTACCGTGGCCAATATACCGTGTACCATGGTACAGTACCATACCATGGCACTACCATGGTTCTACCATGGTACTACCATGGTACTACCATGGTTTTTTTTTGTAAGGGCGAGGTCAGTGAAGGATCAATGTTACTGCCAGAGCGATTTGTGGTGCTAATACGACCGAACCAGTGAGAGCATGATAGTGAATGATGCCAGGAAACAGCTCTTCGCACAGAAGTCTAGAAACCTGGAGAACTTTCCTCCATCCCAGGCAGCACTCAAGCAGCACCTCAATTAGCGCACTTGCTACCAGGCCAACTGTTGAAACCAGATATTGGCCAAGAATCCAGAGATGCAGAGCCATCTGACTTGGGCTGGACAAACGAAACAACCGGGTGGCAGCCTCTTTGGACCACTCTCCCGGAAGCATAAAAGTTGTGGCATGAATAATCCACTGTCGCTGCAAGAAAAGATGCACTGGAATGTGATCTTGTTCTTGACTGTTAGATTTTGATCGTTACCATCATTAGGATATGCATAAGTTGTGGACAGTGCTAAATTCATGTAAATATCTATAGCTGTGGTTATGAACAGGTTTTAGGTCGTATTTGGAATAGCTTTTTTTGTCTTCTGGGCCCAATTTCATAAAGCTGCTAACCGGTAAGCAAATTTTCGTGCTATAACTGTAGCAGACAACTTTGGTTAGCAAGAAAACAAGGCGTCCACCTTGTACGTTCACAATGGATTGCATTGTTACAAAATTCATTTTTCGTCCAGTAAGCAGCGTAAGGTTAATGCATTTTCGTGTGCTTACGTTTAGCAGTGCTTTGAAGTAGAAACTAATACGTAAGCACAGAACCAGCCGATAAGCAGCTCTATGAAATTTGGCCCTGGATAGTCAAAGTGGTGGTACACGGGTCTTTTTATTAATTTTTAAAATAATGAAACCTTAAGTGTCAAAATAGAGGCAATGTTTATTTTAAAAAAGAAAACAGCACTTTTTTGGCCTAATATGACCATTAACTTGACCTCATTGCAAATCCCTGAGTTCTGGCGATCTCAATGTATTACGTAATGAATTGGCATCCCCAAGTTAGTTGGAAATGACACCTCAAACGTTTTTCTACACTTTTTGGTTCAAAAGTTACCACGTTTGTACATTAGACCATGCGGACTGGCGGCTATTTTGGATTTGACCTCTTAGGGTCATCAGAGGTCACATCAAACTGTTAGATAAACTAACTGAAAAGGATTGAGGTGGAGAACTCTGCAGGGGAACCATTCCTTAATAAATTTGAGAACATAGCTAGGGAGAACAAATGACAAATAATGGGGATTTAACCTTCTGTAACCATTCAAAACTTGCTATTTTTAGTCAATTTTGACCTCGACCTTGACATAAATGCCACACCCTGAGTTCTGGAGATCTCAAATGTACTACCAGATGAACTGGCATCCCCAATTTAGTTGGAAATGACACCTTAAATGTTTTTCTGGATTATTTGGTTCAAAAGTTACTGCGTTTATACATTAGCCCTTGCGGACTGGCAGCCATTTTGGATTTGACCTCTCAGGGTCATCAGAGGTCAAATCAAACTGAAATAGACTACCTGAAAAGGATTAAGGTGGAGGACTATGCAGGGGAACCATTCCTCAAGAAATTTGAGAACAAATGACAAATAAATGAGATTTAACTATTTGTAACCTTTCAAAACATGCTATTTTTAGTCAATTTTGACCTTGACCTTGACCTAAATGCAAAACCCTGAGTTCAGGCGATCTCAGAAGTATTACCAAATGAATTGGCATCCCCAAGTTAGTTGGAAATGACACCTTAAACGTTTCTCTGGACTATTTGGTTCAAAAGTTAAGCATGTTTGTACATTAGACCATGCGGCCGGCCTGGCGGCCATTTTGGATTTGACCTCTCAGGGTCATCAGAGGTCAAATCAAACTGAAATAGACTACCTGAAAAGGATTAAGGTGGAGGACTATGCAGGGGAACCATTCCTAAAGAAATTTGAGAACAAATGACAAATAAATGAGATTTAACTATTTGTAACCTTTCAAAACATGCTATTTTTAGTCAATTTTGACCTTGACCTTGACCTAAATGCAAAACCCTGAGTTCAGGCGATCTCAGAAGTATTACCAAATGAATTGGCATTCCCAAGTTAGTTGGAAATGACACCTTAAACGTTTCTCTGGACTATTTGGTTCAAAAGTTAAGCATGTACATTAGACCATGCGGCCTGGCGGCCATTTTGGATTTGACCTCTCAGGGTCATCAGAGGTCAAATCTGACTTCCCTCCACATCTGAAAATAAATCTTATGGTGAAAGCAAACTATGCTAGAAGTTTCATGCTTTTATCAAAAAGTGCACAATTTTCTTGCTAAGCCGCTGCACTAAGATATCATTGATGAGCGGTGTAGATACATGTGCATGTACATTACAAAACAATTGTTGTGTTTGAGTATTTAATATAAAGATAGTTGAATGTACATGCTGAAAAATCATGGAATTATGGAAACGACCATGATAATCTCATGAAATTATTCCTGTAAATATGGTTACCAGTATAACATTTTGGTACATGTATGATTTCGCCCTTTCTAATAATTATTTTACCTATAGCTTGAAGCATGCATTGCTTTCACTGTCATGTAAAAATATCTAATGTTACCCTTTATTCCACCCATTGGTATAGACAACCAAATACACTCAATAAATATTAAATATCAAGTCAGCTCCCCGGTGGGGTCACTCAATGTGACTTCCGGACCGCATGACCGTTACCAAAATCGCGGAAAAAGGGGTCAATTTCAAGCAATGTCTGCGGAAAAAATATTCCTCGAAATAAAGAAAATAGGGGTGCACAGGTGTCCCCGAAATTGATAAATAGGGGTCAGGAAAAGGGAAAAGAGAAAACCGGGAAGGGAAAAGAGAAACCGGGAAGAAAAATTCTCGGAGCCGAGTCTTGTCCTTGAAATATGGTAAAATAGGGGTAAATTTGCGAAAGTGTCCTTACAATCTTATAAATAGGGGCATTCCAAAGTACGATTTTGTCCTTGTTTTGACGTAAAAAAGGGGGTTAAATTTCACAAAATGTCCTTAAAATTGACCGCAAAAGGGGGTTATATGCATTGGTGGTAACGGTCATACGTGTCACTCTTTGCAGGGGAGTGACCCCACCGGGGTCAGCTCTCAATTAACATAAGAAAAAGAGGATCATGGAGGTCCAATGAGTACTGCTTAGGAATTGTTTGCTATATAAAGGCGCAAGTAGCTACAAGTAGTGCAGTCCCACTTTAACATCGATTTGCAAATCTTAATCATAAATAGTGTCCACTTTCTTTTTTGCTGAGTGTATTTTGTGTTGAGCATGCTCTTTGTTAAGTCGGCAGATGAAAATGATGCATACAAATGAATGCAGGAAGAATTTTTTACTATAACTCACAAATTTTAATACATATTCTTTATCATTCACTTCATGGTAAAAAATGCTTCATACATTAACATGAACATGAACTCATTAATACAGAGAATGTATACCTAAAACGATCTTAGATGAATGACATTTTGGCATTTAATCATTCTTTACATGTTGCATATATGCCATGCAACGGATAAGAATAAATCCTACTTTTGTTGTCAAAATCATACTGTAAATAACTATTTCATATAGAACTTGTAAAAGTAAACAATTTGAATAAAAAAGAAAAGTGCAATGACCCACATTTTCCAAAATATACTAAAGATATCCACATTTCTCAAATAGTGTACTGTACTTTACAAGATGGCTGTTCATTCAAGTGTCTTAAGACTTAATGTGATATATGTGAAACATACTACAACTAAAATTTACAACTAAATTAACAACTAATAGAATAATAAGAAAATACAAACAAACAGACTAACACTTAAAGGGGAATGATAGTGACACCCCTATTGCAAGTATTTCCACTGTTTTCTGGTATTTAAGTAAGGAGTCGGAGGAGCACAACATTATACATTTCAAGAGGAAAAGGAGGGTGTTCTTATTCGCACCTTGACTCCATATTAAAAACTGTAACGCATTACTTGCCATTTTACAACATAAGAGTCACACATATTACACACAAATATCATTAAATAACTTCTAACAGACCACCACCTTTGTGAGCAAAAGCTGTAAATGTTTTCAATTAAAATATTCACTTGAAATAACAATTGTTTTTTGCAACAACTATTTTCTTAAAGACAGCTCTTGCTAGATATGAGAATTCTACATAAAGAAATGAAAATCGATCATAGTGTTGCAGCAAATGCACCGTGTAGCAATACAAAATTATGCTATAGACTCAAAACAATGGAACCTATAGGGTACAAAACTAATCAGCAATCTTTAATATTTTTTACTCTTATTATATTGAAGATGTTATAACTATAAAGTGCAGAGAAACAACCAAACAATTTTTAACCATAAAGATGATTTCTATATACATATAGACATGTAAATAAACATGATTTTGCGAGAACATAATTCATGAGACAATTAAAGGGAAATCTAACCCTTGTAGTAAGTTAATTCGTATGAAAGCAGGAAATTATAAACAAAATGGCAAAAGTTTGAAATAAATCGGACCAACAATAAGAAAGTTATGAAGCATGTGAACAATTCTGGTGGTTAATTAGTGGAAGCTACGAGGAAACTAATGCTATTGGGTAACAGTGATGACTAGATTTTCATTTTATTATTTTGTATACTGTATTTTGTGTTGTGCATATCATAAATAAATAATGCAGATAAATTTGAATGGTGTTACACATTGTGACAAATCAAAATGTTCTAATCATGAACCATCGACAAAGTTTGAGCCATGGACATATTTGTATCCTACCTCAAGATACATGTAATGAATTTTATTCAGATTTCAGATGTTCAGCTCTTTCCAATAGATTTTAATACTTTATAGACTGATTGAAACAATTGAATCATAATTGAATTTATCCTCTAGATTGCTGAATCCCTACGGACAGTCCCTGTGTAATCACGCTACTTTAATGTTCATTCATTTGCTAGAAATGGAAAGTAGTCCTACACATATTTACTAAATGACTTTCTCTCACTTTAAATTACTCTTTACAAACTATTAAATGAAGTGATAGATAAGGCAAACCAGCATAATTAAAGCTGGAGATCGCCTATCCATAAAGTATGTAGATACAAAATATTGAACAGTTATCGTTAAAAAATGATATACATCTATCTTTGATAACATTTTTGAGACCTGTGCTGCACAACCATACAAAGATGGAAACACATATAGCAGAACTTGATGAGACGTAACAAGACCTATCTTGACCTATGTTGGCTTGGCTGTGTCCTGATTGGTTGCGCTGCTAGGGTCATCATGTCATTGTGAACCAATCACATCGCCCGTATCTTCCTTTCCTTTGTACTTCGTCTTCCCGCGGGTCCATGGCAAATACCGGTACTTGATCATGTGCTGTAATAACAAAAACATAAAATGCTCATGTAATCAGGAAATTGATATGTTGACGAATCCTTCATTCGGATTAAGCATGTAATCAATCTACAATATGATTTAAAACAAGTATAACCAGAAAAGGCTTTTTTTTAAACCCATTCACATTGAATGTTTAATTTTTGTAAAATGCATGGTGACAAAATATTACATTCCCCTAATTTATAGATCAATTGTGTTCATAGCAGGAGATGGGAAGCTATTTCTGCAGAGGTTTTCTTTTTCTTTTTTTTCTTTTGAAATAAATGGCCTAAACAGGTGTGGTAAAAATACAGTGTATCCAATCCAAGTGCATGATCCTATCCATGTGAGTATATCCTTGATGTTTCTATTTTAGTCCACCCTCATGCTCAGAGTAACATGTGTTTCTTTTCAACTGTCGGTAGGGATGCATCAGCAAACTAACCCTCAACAAATCAACAAAATGTGGGCCATATAGGATGAAATCGGCTTACATCGACAGTTTGCTTTATATCTATTGTCAGTATTGTTGACCTTTCAACTATTCCAAGTCAGTTTCAGATTTCGTCAAACAAATATTTTAATTTGAGCATGCTCTACATCTAACACTAACAGCCAAGTTTTCTACAGTCAATTGTTGTTCTTTTGTCAATCTTGAAGAAGGACTTGGTTAATAGTAGACAGGAAAGAAAAAACAAAAATAATGAGCCACTCACCTCAATTTGTCTCCTCATTGTTAAGAAGAAAAGGAGGAAGAAATACATAACTAGGATTGGCCAGAACACAGGAACATTGAACAGTTCAAAGAAGGTTAATGTCAAAGCTACAAGTATAGCTTTCATTGCAGAGTGCCTGAAGGAGAAAGAAAAGAGAAAAAAACAAAAAGACAATGTGAATAACGTTTGATGGTATGGGAATAAAAAGGGAGTACAATGAGAGGCATCCATAGTAAAATGGATGCTTTGCACATCTAGTTTCTGTGAACTGTATTAAAGCAGAGGGCCAAAGTCAGAAAGAGGGGTTTGGTTGCCACTTGTTCACAAACTAAGCACACCTTGTTAATTCAAAAGATTTTATCATAATACACAATATTTCATAATTTATTTTTTATTTGTAGCAGTCACCCCCTAAAAAATCAGAGGGAATGTCCCAAAAAGCGGCCCTTTATACAAAAACAAGAGGGTATTTTGTAAATAACATTTTTAAGAAACCTTGAACCACTGTTCGTTTGGTATCTTATGAAAGAGCATGAAATTATCTATATTTTGATACTGATTTCAATGGAATTGAGATCAATTAACATTGATGATTTGGTGATTTTTTTCTCAAAATATTGAATTTTAACAAAAAATGTTATTTTACATGATCAATTCAATGTATATTCCTACACAGTGAACTATAGTTGTAACACTTAATTGAACCCAATTCCCTTTACATTGTAATACGCACAACAAATTCATGAGAATTGCTCATGAAAAAAAAGAAAGAATGTACTTACCAAAATTTGAATTCTGGTAATCTCCTAATAAAAGGTCTGAATTCTTGACCTGATTTAGTTGGTAATGCAGGGCCATCATCGTCTGTCAAAGGAAAAATATTTAAATATGTTATTTTACTCTTTGAGTCAATGATTATGAGAACCATGTTGTTCCAGTACCAAGCTTCAGGAATAACAGCTTAAGATAAAATATAACATGACATGAGCAATAATGAGTACACAAATGTCAACAAAAAAACAGCAAATAAGAAATGATTTTTCTGTTTAGAAGTGCATTCAGTATAAGGTCTTTGTTTTTTATTGAATATGTTGAGAGTTTTTCTGAGTTGATACCTATTCAAACATTTCCATTTTGATCACAAGACGTTTAGTTAGACAAATAGAAATGTGTTGCTAATTTTAAAGATACTATGTCCCAATTGCAGCCAACATCAAATTCTGTAGAACTTTGCAGGAATTATGAATATGTCACGTATGCCCTATCTGTGAAATTTAAACATTAGCGGTGTCCTATTATTCAAATTATGCAAGGAAACCTGTATACTTTCTGGACTTCACTGTCAGACACTATTGAGTGACTGACTGACATCTTTTTTTCTTTGGAAAATACATAAAATGAGCTGTAACAGGTAAATGAGCATTTGTCTACATCAACAACCCACTACTTGTAATGGCCAAAATTAAAATGATTGATTCTTTACGCAGCACAAAACGTACAACCATATTTGTACCTGGTTTGTACATCACTTTTTATTACGTTGAAAAATGCAGAAATAAAATAAAACAAACAAACAAGTTTCGTAGTTGATGAACGAGACAGAGGGAGGCACATACCTGGGTCATCTGTAACAGCTGGGTCTATCTTAGGTGAGAGGAAGGCAATGAAGAGATTCAGATGGTATATAGCTAGAGCATACGTTATGATGAACCAACCCTGAGCAAAAAGATATGAATGGAGAAATAACAAAGTTGCGATGATTTTTGCATACTTCAAACACTTTCATTAATATTCATATTTTGTATAGAGAGAGCGCAAGGGTAGAGTAAAAGGAGGGGGTTTTCGACAAAATCCTATTTTTTGGACCCTTTACTTCCTTTTTATTATCATTTCTTGTTCAAATCATGAAGCAAATATTATTATTATTTAAACAAAAAAAGAATCCCAGAAAAAAATCACGAATTGCCATGACAATATTCATTTCAATTTTCACTGTTTCGGAGTCAGTTATCGGCATAGCGAACCAGTTTTCGGCCGCATGTACAAAGTCAATAGGAAGCGCGCACGCGCGCTGTGCGTCTCCGCGCTGATCCATAGTACTAGCGGGCGGAGCAGGTATCCCATGCCAGAGCTCCCCGGAGCTCGCCAGGCCGAAAACTAGTACTGTGGTTATCGGATATTGGAATCTGAATTAGACAGAGATATCGTGTGTGCGTTGCGGTGTCCGGCTGCATTGATTTAATACATGCGGTAAGACACTTTTGAGCTTGCAACCAGCACAAAATCGGGCTCTTAATCTGAAAAATACTTGAAATAAAGCTCATTTTATGGTACCCATATTTCTTACAGACACGCGTAAGATACTTGATTTTTCAGATTCGGGTAGCGGGACCGCCGATTACATCGCTAAAATGTGATATTTTAGGATATATTTTTCATTGCAAATGTGGTTCTTCAGTGACTCTGGCATGGTATGGTATGTGTGGGATATGTGATATGCTATTATGCCATGTATTTTAAAGGGATTTTACCATGCATCCAACCAATCGGCCGAAAACTGAAGCTGGTGGATTACCCCTTCCTTTACTCTGTGAAGGCATTCTATTCCAGTAACAATATTGCATATTAATTTACAGAGGTTCAAGTACAACTTATTATTTTAGAAATTAAATCTTGACATAGCAATATATAGACATTATTTATCATTTGATATTTGTATTACCTGTTATATTTTTGTTCTTTCATATTTGTTTTCAGTGTCTACAATTTAAACAGACAGACACACATGGGAGATCCCTGAAGACATAAATAATTTTAATAATATTAAAAAAGATTTTAAAAAGGGGTGGGGTCATCAATAAATCTGTCTCACCTGAATGAAGAATATTCTCAGCAGGTAGATGATATACAGGACGACGAAACCGACCCATCTGGGCACCGCATAGGGAACAGACTTATCCAATAAACCTTGATACCTCTGTGTTAGAGAGAGAGACAGAGAGAGAGAGAGAGAGAGGCAAAACGAGAGGGAGAGAGAGAGACAGACAGACAGAGACAGACAGAAAGAGACAGAAAGAGAGAGACAGAGAGACACAGAGAGACAGAGAGACAGAGAGAGACAGAAAGAGAAAGAGAGAACATAAAATAAATTTTAGAATTTGTTGGTACTGAGCAAATAGACGGGGAGCTTGAAAGATGGGTCAAACACTTGCAAATTTATGTTCGATCAATTACAACTTCAAACATTGATCACTTTACATTTTGCTCAAACCTTCATTGAGCTGTTTTTTTAAATCTCCTATTAAAATCAACCTAATATTAGGGTAATTAATGTCCTACTATGACATTCAAGAGAATTTGCTTCACAAACAAAACTTGATTGTGTTTGCATTTTAGCTATGTATGCACAAACCAGAGACAAACAAGACTAGAACATCCCAATATATAAGTACAAACATCCAAAGATTTGTGAAATGTTACAAGTGTTTATCCAAACTGATGTTTAGAGCAGTTATTCCCCCCCCCCTGCTTTTTTAATAATACTTTTCCCTTGTCACACACAAACTAGCCTATTGTCCTAATGGCGTACTGATAAATATCAAGATGTCAGAATTAGGAGAGCTGGGGTATTTGTTTCCAGTTCATCGTGACTGTGCCATGGACCAGTGATGGACTGGTATTAGAGTTGATGCCCAGGAAGCAGAAGTTGGTGAGTTCAAATCCTGCTGGTTCCAAGATTTGTTCTGCCTCATTTTTAATAACAAGATCAAGCACATGATCTTAAATAACTGGGTGCAAGCCGAAATTTCTTTACAAATAGAAATTACTCCCAAAAGCCTAATATTGAAATTGGTATGATGAAGTACCTGTTTTGTTCCACATGACCAGAGTCATGGCATGAGATATACTGACTGATTTGTATTGTGAATTGCTAGAAACAAATTACAGGAACAATGAGAATTTGTAAACATGAGAGTTCATAGTTTGATGATGAAATTACCTGTGATATACTTGTAAAAACTCTGCTAAAAAAGCTTGGTTGAGAGATGGTCTCGCTTGCTTTGCCGATGTCATTCATGGCTGCAATGTAGCTGAAACAAAGAAAGAGAATTGCACTCAATAGTTAGTATGTCTGAAAGTCAATCAGAATCTTTTAGCCTAGGGAGAAGCGAGATAACCCATTAGTTGTTTAGGGAAGTGCTGTGCAAATCATGGTCACGCTTAGACCGAAAGCCTCACTCACTTTATATATCGTCAATTGTTCTACAATTTCTACTGAGACTATTTCTACATACATCGGAGTGTGATTACCTTTCTCATCGCACGCAGTAGTTCACAAAACCAGACAAATTACCTGAAATAAATCCTTCTATTTCAAAGTTTCGCATGGATTTTCAATATTATTTTGAAATCAAAGGAAAATTACATCAATTTCCTTTCATTACATAATTTATGAATCAAACCATATGGTCTAGATGAGTAAAAAGAGGGGATTTTTTTTTTGCCTGATTGTAGCAAACAGTCATTAGGGAAATACTTCCATAAGTTCCTTTCGTACTCCCCATGAAGATTAAGTTGATTTTTGGTATCTTTTAGTAGGGTATCTCCAAACTGGAGTTATGGGTCAAAGCCTGGATATGATTCTGAACTAATATAGCGCCATTATGTGAATATATTTTTTGGTATGAATTTGCCCATCAAGTAATACATGTACATATCATTGACTGAGAAATTTTGTGATGTGACTTGGAGAAAATGAGAAAAGTGGGAACAGTGTGTCTGTGTGGATGTGGATCAACATGAATGACAATATCGGCTTTTTATTTTGGTTGGCTTTTTGCCTTTTGGCCCATTCCAATTTTCAATTTTCAGGTGGTGATACTGGTACTACTGGTAACCGGAGCTGAAATAGACTGGTAATGGTATGGTGGTGTGACCATAGTGTGCTATCTCAAACAATTGGTAAGATTTCAAAAATCTGCTATCATCAATGGAAAGAGGAACATGAAATTACCCAGAGACAACATTTTCTTTTGAATTGGGTGTGAAATTGTGAAAATATTGACAAAAGATTGGCAAATTTTGCAGTCATTTGAGTACGTTTTGAAAAATTATTAACTTACCGATACAGCCTAATTAAAGGTCTGGAAATCTTCATTTTGAAAGCAGATACCCTCAAAATTGAAAATAAGTGGTACCGACCGATTAAATCTTGCCTTGCAAATTATGACGTTACCTAATTTTTGATGGATCACATTTTTGTATAAATCAACTGTATACACCCATGTATGAAGTAAGGTCTCGTTGTTTTAAAGACCTTTTTTTTTTTTTTTATCGGACATCAAATTTTTAGATCGCAATAGACTATCTCTGAAATGCTTCGACGATTAATTTTCTAGTTGAACTAATTTATAGTAAAAAGGGTTTGCTGTCCATTTGGTAATAATTGAAATAAATAAATTTGTGTAGGCTAGACTTAGATCTAGATCTAGATCTAATATGAGAAATCATAGATTGAATATCACATTTTGTAATATGTTCTAAAATGTCCGCGGGTCACTCGATCCTTCATCATTAAATAGGGGCGCTGGTCTGTGAATGAGAATTGTCCTCATAAACGCGGACAAAATGCGTCCTCATAATTATTAAAAGGATCATCTGCATATTCGCTGACATTTTTTATCACCAGCACTCTGTGGGTTTCTGATTACCGAACCGCCCGCTGGCGGTGCAAAAAATGGATTACCCCCCCAAAAAAAACCTAGGTCTACTTCACTGTCTACTTTTATGGGTTGTCCGTAGGTTCTTCTCATGGATTTATCGCACTTATTATAATGTGAAAGTCTCTGTACGAAGTCAATAGTGAATAGAAAATGCATCAATAAAATCATTGCAGAATCCATTTTTCGCAGCAATGCACCGATCAAAAGTAGGCCTAGACTCTAGTCTATGTAACGTCTGCGAAAATTCGGACGATTCTTATTTTTTGAGGGCGCATCGGTCTGCGCTTATGAAGACGATCCTTATTCTCAGACCAGCGACCCTACTGTTCGTACTAGCGAAAGCGAAGGAGTGCTCGGCCCGACAAACAGCACCGCAGCGCTTGCAACGGCACGGGAGCGACTGGGCGAGAGATGTGGACGCGTCGGTCATAGGCATAGCTCCCCGGTGATGACTCGGCGCGCTTCTCCCTCGGTCTGGCCTTCGTGGTAATATAGCTAAGATGCCATCTGATTCATTCATCAATCACAAAACACTTAATTTCTTCACAATAAAAACATTTGTATCTCACAGCTTACTACATAATTTGTGTTACATACCCGCAACCACGGCGTCGGGAAACCAAGTTTGAGGAATAAAAATCAAGTTCACGGTTTATTACGAAGAACCTGCACAATCGTCCCAAAAAAGTTGGTATGCACTGCTTGCGTTTTCGACCCCTCGCGCTCGATCGAGCGCATATATTGTCTGGGAGTGGTGAGGACTTTGAATGAACTTCGAAAACAAAATTCGGAGAAGAAAGAAAGAAGAAAAAATGCCCGGCACAAAAGATATGCACTTAAGCATGATAAAAGGGGGAGGGGAGACAAAAAAAAAAAAAAAAATTAGGAAGAAGAACACTCAAACAGAACGATTGGTGCAGCTAGACAACAAACATATAAGTTCTTCTTTCTTTCTTTCTTGATGGATTGATTGATTTTTATTCGCAAAGCCTCCAACATACAAGAATATGAAAGAATATCAGATCAAAACTCGAGGGCTTATTTCCGAGTTTCCCGACATACATGTACAAAATTAGTTAGTTAAATTTGTATTGTATATTTTCAGACAGATAAGAAAGAAGATAATAGTAATGATGATAATAATAATAATAACAACATTTATCTGATAATGATAGAAATGATAATAAGTGAGAATAAGAAGATAAAAGAAGAAAAAAAAAGAAGGAGAAGACTCGAGAAACTAGAAGAAGAAAAATATTAAGAAGGAGGCGAGAGAAAAAGAAGAGGAGGAGAAAAGGAGAAGGAGGAGGAAGAAGAGGACAAAATGATGAATATGTTGATTTTCTATATATATAACGTAGTGAAGTTATAGTGAACATAGGTAAACAAAATCATTGCTTATTGAAATTATGAAGTAATTGAGTAATACTGTAATAGAATGCCCGTCCAATAGAAGCGAATTTTCTTAATGTTAAAACATATGGAGCATTTTTTTCTACTTCCGTTCATGGAATCCGATTGGTCCAATATACTGGATATTTAAACCCCCTGGCCCTGCATAAATTTTCATTCAATATTTTATTTTGTGTTATGCTCACGCATGCGCAAACTTCTTTTCATCTCTCTTTCCTTTCTTTCTTCTTGACCTAGCTCTAGAATAGAGCCATATTATAGCGATCCATCTGAATTATTTGTTAATTTAAGTTTCTATCATTATTTGTTATGTTCATAAAAATTATGTATGTATATATGTTTTTTATATGGAAACTAAAACCAAACCAAACCAAACACCTTGGTGTAAATCATAGTGATATAGTTGGTGTAATAGTTTAGAAGGAATTCTATATTATTTTGTCGTATATAAAAGCCATCGAGAACGAGCTATCCATAATGTAGTCCCGAATTTTTTTTTGTAATGCAAACAATATGCGAATATTGAATGGACCAAGTTTGATTTTAGACGATTCGTTATAGTACTATCTCATTCTGCCGGTTCCACGTTGATTAGGCTCAGGCTGTGAAATCATTTTCTCCAAAGTATTTATATAACCTTTTGAAGATTTCATGTAATGAATTTCTACGGTATATATATTAATTACTAAAATATATTTTAAAATTTGATTTACATGAACCAAACGAGGTTTTATAAAATAGATTAATTAGTGCAGACAACTCGTTTATGCAGGAAAATACAGTCATCACCTTTGACCTTTTGAATAAATTTACATATGCCATTTAAGCACCACCGGAGCTGAGACGGTAGCATATATTGGCACCAAGATTAACGGCGATATGAATATTCATTATTCCCTACGTCACAGACGTGCGGAGTGCGTACTCTGTCATATACACATGTATTCAGTACATGAGTACGTTCGTAAGCATTAGGTCATGTACATTGCTCCGGAATGAAGAGAATCATTATAAAGGACGAATTACTCCGTGAAGCCAAGTACAAGCAGGGAATTGAAAATGGCAAACGTTCCTCGGAGCGGCTATACACTCCCTAATCTAGCTAGTTTTGTAATGACAGTTTATTTAGGATAATGGACATTTAGTAGGCCTATTGTTTAGTTGTTAAATAACATCACTCAGTGTGATTTGATTCGAGATATATCTCATTAATAAAACAGTATAAAGGCTGTATGAGTCTCGAACGAACCATATCGCCACTAATCTTGGTGCCAACACCGTTAATCTATATGCTCCAAATTTAGTAATACATTTTGTGTGCCCTATAATGACCCGGGGTTGGATTATTTAGGAGAACAGAAGATTGATATTGTTAAGTTGTTTCATAACATCTCTCAGTTTGATTTGATTCGAGATATATTTCATTAATAAAACAGTATAAAGGCTCTATGAGTCTCCAAGAACGATCGCCACTAATCTTGGTGCCAACACCGTTAATCTATGCTCCAAATTTAGTAATACATTTTGTGTGCCCTATAATGAACCGGGGTCGGATTATTTAGGAGAACAGAAGATTGATATTGTTAAGTTGTTTCATAACATCGCTCAGTTTGATTTGATTCGAGATATATCTCATTAATAAAACAGTATAAAGGCTGTATGAGTCTCGGACGAACCATCGCCACTAATCTTGGTGCCAACACCGTTAAACCATGCTCCAAATGTAGTAATACATATTTTTGTGTGCCCTATAATTACCCGGGTTGGATTATTTAGGAGAACAGAAGATTGATATTGTTAAGTTGTTTCATAACATCACTCAGTTTGATTTGATTCGAGATATATCTCATTAATAAAACAGTAAAAAGGCTCTATGAGTCTCCAAGAACGATCGCCACTCATCTTGGTGCCAACACCGTTAATCTATGCTCCAAATTTAGTAATACATTTTGTGTGCCCTATAATGAACCGGGGTTGGATTATTTAGGAGAATAGAAGAGTGATATTGTTAAGTTGTTTCATAACATCACTCAGTTTGATTTGATTCGAGATATATCTCATTAATAAAACAGTATAAAGGCTGTATGAGTCTCGGACGAACCATCGCCACTAATCTTGGTGCCAACACCGTTAATCTATATGCTCCAAATTTAGTAATACATTTTGTGTGCCCTATAATGACCCGGGGTTGGATTATTTAGGAGAACAGAAGATTGATATTGTTAAGTTGTTTCATAACATCTCTCAGTTTGATTTGATTCGAGATATATTTCATTAATAAAACAGTATAAATGCTCTATGAGTCTCGAACGACCATCGCCACTAATCTTGGTGCCAACACCGTTAAACCATGCTCCAAATTTAGTAATACGTTTTGTGTGTCTGCAAAGACCCGGGGTTGAATTATTTAGGAGAACGGAAGATTCCTATATTGTTAAGTTGCTCTATAACACAGGCGCGGTTCCAGGGGGCAGCGCCCCCCCCCCCGCAAAAATAAAGAGAGAGAGAGAGAGAGAGAGAGAGAAAAGGAAAAGAAGGACAGGAAAAGAGGAGAGAAAGGGAAAGAAAGAAGAGGAAGAAGACAAGAAAAGGGGGAAGAAGGAGATTGGGGGGACCGAAATGGCCTTGCCTTCCAGGCTGTTGCCTCCCCGCCCCACATGTGGGCCAGGGAGGGACCAAAGTGCGCCAAAACTATTTTTGGGTGATTTATTTTTTTCTATTTTTTTCTTGCCCAGTTGAAAGGTAATACATAGAGGAATACCTCAGTGAAATGTTTAATTCCGGTATGCACAATAAGGGTATAAATTTACTACTTTAAATAGCAAAATCCTACATATTCACAGTTTTAGTGCAAAAGTGACTTATTTTATAAATCGTTCAATTCAACATGAAGTTTTTAAGTTATTGATATGAAATTGCTCTCACATATTCCTGATAGTTCATTTCGTTGAATGAATGGGTTAAAATTAATAGAAACACAATCTTCATGATATATTTATAGGGTAATTCACTGAAAAATGGACTAATTATTCATGTTTTTTTTAAATCCAGAAGAAATGTTTAGATCTCCGCGGTGTACCGCTTAAATTTTAATACCACCATTTTCTCTGATGTCTAAGCTTTAAGTTGATACCAAATTTGGCTGCCCGATCTTGCCCGTTGTTATGTTAGAGCCGATTTCCCTTGCCACATTGCCCCGAAAAATGTGGGTTTTGGGGGTCCCCGGCTGAATCATGAAGGATTCGTGGTCATAAATCACGGCGCGAGGGGGCGCGTGACACTTGTTCTGACACTGCGGACCAACATAAACACATTTTTCGGGGCAATGTTGCAAGGAAAACGGCTCTAACTTAATAACGGGCAGAATCGGGCAGCCAAATCTGGTATCAACTTAAAGCTTAGACATCAGAGAAAATGTTGGTAATAAAATTTAAGCAAAAATCCCTGGAAATCCAAACATTTCCTCTGGATTTATAAAAAATAAATCCCCAAACATGAGTTTTGGCGCACTTTGGTTCCTCCCTGGCCCACTGTGCGCCCCCCCCCCCCAATCAAAAAAAAATATGAGCGAAGGAAGGAAAGGGAAGGGAAGAAAGGAAAAGAGGAGATAAAGGGAAGGGAAATAAAAGAGGAAGAAGAAAAGAAAAGAAGGAGGATATCAGTTTTCCTGCCAATAAGTTGTGGTTCGGGGGGGAGGGGGGGGGGGGGGGGTTATTTCTAATTCCATAACGGTGACTTACAAATGTTGCTAAAATGACATCATTTTCCGAGATTGTTCCTCACTTTTTATTAAATTATACTTTTTTATGCGTTTGTTGGAAAATGACATATTCCGAAATTTACAGTCAGGCAAGAAAAATATGCTTATTGAGATGCCTACATGTCGGGGCCCGCGGAACGGTCGGGATCGGGAGCCTCGAGCTCCCTCGCCCTCCCCCTCTTTTTTGAAAAAGTATATTAAAGAGAGCAAGAAATAAAGAATAGTGAACTGCCAGTGTCACAGAAAAAAATGAGGTATCAAAATATGCTCATCTGACCGTGATTAAATGCCTAAACCCCCGAACTTTCGGGGTCTCTACCCTCTGGATTCCACCTAGGGCCCAAAGGTCGGCCCTTAAATGCTCATCTGACGGTAATTTAATGCCTAAAACCCCTAAAACCCCTGGAATTTACCCCAAGCCAAATAGTGTCCTGCAAATGTCACAAAATAATAAGGTATCTAACATTGCTAACCTGACCGTAATAAAACGCCTAAAACCCCTGAGCCTCCGGGGGCTCTGCCCCTGAACCAAACCAAGGGCCCTAAGGCGGGCCCCTGAATGCTTATCTGACGGTAATTAAACACCTAAAACCCCTGAGCTTCCGAGGGCTCTGCCCCTAGACC